GAGGAAAGGGGGGGTCCTGTGGACCCCCAGCCCTGTGGGCACAGGTGACAAGGCGGGAAGGTGACATCAGGGGACATCCCTGTTTCGGGGGGGGGATCCCCATCCCGGGGAGGGTGCAATCCATCACACCCACGAGGTCTGAGCCCCTCAAGACTGGGGTGCTCGGGGTGGGATGGGGGGGTGCAGAGCCCACCCTGCGCTCATCCCGCCGGCTCCCGGTGTCTTTCCTCCCCCAAATCCCCGCTCCCTGCTCGGATGCCCCGCGGGCGGTGCCAGCTGGCCCCCTCTCCGGCCCCGTTATAGTAGGTACTATTTTGGAAAGAGCAGAAGACACCGAAGCAGTTAACGAGGAGAGAAATACGTTATGGGAGAAACTCCTGGATCGGGAGGAGGAGGAGGAGGAGGAGGAGGTGGAGGCCGGGGGGGGGATGCACATTTCGCTGCCCTAATTGATCCGGTGCCATCCATGTCCCCGGGAACATCCACTGGGTGCCTCAACTTTTGCCGAGAGGCTCCAAGTTACACAATCACCCCGTTATTAAACCTCCCCCCCCTCCACGGCTTCGGTCATTCCAGGCTGCTGGAAGCGGCAGATTTCCCAGGAACGGTTGTAATCCACGGCCATGGAGGTGTCCCCACCACGCTGCCATCCCTCCCTTCCCCTCTGGATGCATCCAGGCGATTTCTTTCCTTTTTTATTTTTTTTTTTTTTTTCCTTTTTAGCCTGTCATGTGGCCGATCACATGTTTAATGTTAATAACCTCAAACCCAGGGAAAGGGGATCCGGGTGGCAGCCGGAGCGTGGAGGCCCCTCGGGCCCTGGTTGGGGGTGGTGGTGTGTGGGGGGGGTGAAGCTCCCAGGCGTTTGGTTTTGGGGGTTTTGTTTTATTTTTTTTCAGTGGGAATAATACCGGAGCACTCCTGGATTTGGGGAGGGGTCCTGGGGGGGGGTGTGTGGTGGTTTGTAGGTCTCCCGAGTGGCCGGTGCTGCCCGTAAATCTCCTGCTAAATCCCAGGCAGCTGCCTGTGTTTAGGTTGGCCTTGTTCGGGAAAGGTAATGTCAATGCAGCCATTATGATTCAGCTGAGTCGGCCGGATCCATGCGCTCTCCCTGCCTGCCGGGGCTTCCAGATCCCGGGAATCCCTGGCAGGGATCCTGCCTGCTTGGCAACACCCCCCTCACCCCCCCCTCAGTATCCGTATGATCCCGCTAATTGTGGTCATTAATCCATATCCAAGCGGGGTGGAGGCTCACGGCCTGCTCGCTCCAACACTCCAAAATCCACGGGCACTTCCCATATTATCCCCCCTCCCTCCAAGGATAATAATTTTCCAGCTGGGGAGGGAAAAAAATCGGAATATCTCCTTCCGAGGGCCGGGATTTATTGTTTGAAGGTGGTGACATTGTTCGTGGTTATTAATAATTAAAAAGCTGAAGATAAAAGCTCGTTTTGTTCCGTGGAAAATGCCTGCAATTAAGTAGGATGTGGAATTTTAACTATGTTTAACCTATATATTTACATCTCCAGAGCCCTGCAGAAGCGTTAACTGTAATTAAGTTTTTAGGCAAGGGGAAATGGAGCATTTCCAGTTTTAGGCTTAAACTTGTACTGGGGAGAACTTTCTTATTAAAAATCTCTAATTTTGAGGTGCCACAAGGATTGGTCTTTATTAAAATCTTGAATTTCGGTGTAGGTCAGGAATTGCTTCTTTTAAAACAGGGAATTTTGGGGTGTGCCAAGAGTTGCTTTTTTATTAAAATCTGGAATTTTGGGGCCAGAACTGCTCTTTAGTAGCCCAGTTCTAGCAGGAAACTGGTGGCTGATGGTAACAGAGACCATTAATGTCCAAACTTGGTGCTCTCTGGAGAGCACTTGGGGTGGTTCTGTTGGAAATCTGAGGGATTAGAGGGTCTGGTTGTCTGTATTATCCCAAAGTCAGGCCTTAATTAACTGTTGGAGCAGCAGAATTGACTGGTGGATCCCACATCTGAAATCCACATTATTCAGGGCAGGTGCTGGAGCTCAGCACTGCAGGGTGGGTGTTTTCCCTCTCTGTGCCCCTTCCAAAGAAACCTGCAGGGATTTTCTTGCAGTTTTTGTTGCGTTTTGCTCCATTTTTCGTGCATTTGGAGGGTTCCCCCTCCAGCAGATGACACCTGCAAGGTGTGACATCCTCTGGGAAGCAGAGCTGTGTCTGTGAGGATCCTTCCCCCTGACCGGGCTGGAAGGTGACCCAGCTCTCTCTCTCTCTGTGCAGTTGCATCCATGACAAATCCTTTAAAAACCCAGGATGTCGGGATTTAGGCACCAGGCTGATCCAGAGCAAATAATCTGCTGGAATTTTTCTGATATTCGTGTTGTTATTTTGTGTCGGTGCCGTTGGGAAGTGGGGAGCAGCCGGGATCCAGTGCCCTGGTTTTGGCAGCTGTTGTGTGTGTGTTAGAAGTCAGACACATCCCTAATTCCCATCCTGTTCCGTGGTGCCTGCCCTGTGATTTCTGAAGGAATTCCTGCTTTTCTGAGATGGGGTGAAACCAAGGAATTGTGGTGTAAAGCTGGGACCGGTGCTGGAGCCAAAGGTGTCCTGGAAACAAGTGGATTTTCCAAGTTTGTGCTTTGCTGTCGTTTCTGAAGGACTTTCGGGCACCTTTCTGCAGGTCTAGGTTGGATTTCTTTTTTGGACAAGGGCCTGGAGGTACAGGCCAAGGGGGAATGGCTTCCCACTACCAGAGGGAGGGTTAGATGGGATCTGGGGAAGGAATTCTTGGCTCTGAGGGCGGGGAGGCCCTGGCCCAGGTTGCCCAGGGAAGCTGTGGCTGCCCCATCCCTGGAAGTGTCCAAGGCCAGGTTGGAGCAACCCAGGCTAGTGGAAGGTGTCCCTGCCCAGGCAGGAGGGTGGGCTGGATGATTTAGGGTCCCTTCCAACCCAAACCATCCCTGATTCCATGGTGCCCATGATCCGTTCCACCCCTAGCCAAGGTTTCTGGGAGCGTCAGAACACTGGGATCACACACCCCCCACGGAAACCTCCCACCACCTGCCCCTTTCTGGGTGAAATCACAGCCCACGAGCTGCTCCCTTCTCTCCATGTGCCTTTGGAGCGTGGCAGAGATGCTGCCGGAGGCGGGGAGTCCAATCCCACGGGATTTGTTCCGCGAGGCTCCGGGTGCCTCTGGGGAACCAAACCCCGGCGTCGGATCAATCGCTGCCGTCTCCAGAGAGCTCTGGGGAGTTTCCCCCTCACGCTGCTGCCAAGTGGGGAGGGTTTGGAGGCTCCTCTGGTTCATCTCGCTGCCTGAAGACGCTTTTGGTTGATGAAAAATGTGCAACTTTCTTCTTTTTAATATAAACTACGACTCTGGGAACGCAGTTGGGTGGTCGGGCGTTGGATTTTCCCCAGGTCGGGAAGTGTAGGGATTTTTTATAACATTGATATAAAAGTCAAAGGAGCTTTTTAATTGTGTGCAAAGCGAGGGAAGGGTTAGAAGAAATCTTAAATATAAAGGAAGTTGTGGGGTTTGGAAAGGAAAAATGTGATACCATCATTATTATTGCTGGTTGTGCTCTGTAAGGCCCTAGTTGGTTTGGCTCGTTTAGTGTTGATGTTTTATGGCTGCTAAGGAATATTTGGGGGGAAAAGGAGCTGTGGAAATGGCTAAAAATGGAGTAAAGGCCAAGGTGCACATGCCCAGACCTTGGGATGCCACAGGAAAAGTGTGAATGCCACCAGGGTCAAGATGCTGTGGGGGGATCCCTAAAAAGCAAGTTGTGTCATAATGCAGCAACTTGGCTGGACAGAGCTCAAGGAGGCCCTGGGAGAGACAGTCCTTAAAGCAGGAACCCTGTAGGATCCCACCAAAATTACTTGGGAATCTGATTTTGGGGGACAAGTCTTGAAATGCCCCCAAAATACGAAATAATCCTGATATTGTTATATGAACAGGAAAGATGTTTTGTTACCTGTATGTGGGATGAGCTGGGGAGAAGTGGCTGTGCCAAGCCTGGGTGTTGCAGATTTGGGGCTGATTTTGCTGGATCATGTGGCGTTTCATCCAAGAAATGAATCCAAAGGGAAATGTTCTGCAGACGTCTTGGGATGACACAAACTGTTCCCCTCCAGTGTTTTCCTGCAGCCCTTGGCTGCCCCAAACAGAGCCAGAAGTGCCTCTTTTTGGGCTGAAGCTGCCAGGTTCTCTGCATCCTGTACAGGGATGCTCTGCCATGCTAATAAATGTGCTAATTAACGTGCTAATTAACAGAAATACCAAACCCAACACCAGCCTTGGGCACAAAACCCTGTTAGAAAACAGCGATAAGGTGCCAGGGCACGTGGATTGGGCTGAGATTTTATCCATTTCCTCTGGGAATAACACCAGCTGCTTCAGGTCTGCCATGGAGAAGAGGGAAGGTCGTGTTCCTCTGGATTCCCCTCCGCTGGATATTATTTTTCTGGATATCAGGCTGGGAAAGGTTAATCCCGTTTTCCCTGTTCGAGGC